CCCATTTTAACCCCCCCCCCCACAATTTCTCCTTCCACCACTACCTCCCTCTTCACCAACCACTTGCCTATTCTTTCATCACCATCTCACCACTAGTCTTGACCACCATTCTGTCACCAAAAATTAGTGGAGTATTTTGATTTCTTGGTTTCATTTTCGGATTAACCAAAGCGCCAAAGCTTGTTGGATCAGTTTATTTTATCAAAAGATAGAGCACGGAAAGAATATTGTGTCCAAATGCATTGCCAAAATTTAATTGGAAAGATGTATATTATAATTAAACATAGCTTTATGTATGATACAAAGTTGAGCTCTGTAGCTGGAAATGGTACCTAAAACCAGTATTTTGAAAAGCGTGTTCAGGGCGAGCCCCGGGGTGAGGCGTACCAAAAACGTCTCAGGGCGATGGTGTGGGGCGAAAGTCTCAAGAGGCATATGCACGGGCGTTCGAGACGCGTTTTTTTAGTGAGGAGTAAGCCTGAGAGACTTTTTCAAATTAAAACAAATTTTGTTGAATAAGTCCTTCATATAATACCCAAATTCTCAAAAGTCAGTTTGGTAATTACTCAAAAGGTTTAAAAAGGAACTCAAAAGTATTAAATTTGAAAGTCAAGACCTTTTCTATTGATTGAAGCCCTAATTCATGGTCTTTCCCAATTCTTTATCTTGTCCGCTAGTGTGCTAATATCTCCCAAAAGTAACAAATATTTAATTATTTTTATAAATACAAAGAGAACTCTAATCTCCTTCATAGCAGCAAGTTCAAAATTCAAATTACAAGTTAATCATTATTTTTGTTCCTCCATGTATAAAACTTTATTCTTTTAGACTCAAGTTACTTATGCTTGTAAGTAGCGTATAATAGATTGTTTTGACTAGTTTTTTGTGGGTATGGAGTGCGCACGCGCGCGCGCGCGCACACACATACACACACATACACACACACACACACACACACACACACACACACACACACACATATATATATATATATATATATATATATATAGTTTTTTCAATTTTTATGTAATTTTACCTATTTATAAATATTTACTGTCATTATATTATTTTATAAAATATTAAAAATTAAATACCTATGAGGCTCTTACGTCTCGCTGAGGCATATGTATAACGCCCCGCTTTACGCCCACACCTTTTAAAACACCGCCTAAAACTGCTTCTAGCATAAAATAAGCGAGGCATAAGGCATAAGGTAGCAATGAAACGACTTTCTTTTCTCTTTTTAGAAAGTATACTAGCGGAAATGACTGCCTATAAAGAAAATCTCTGCACACTAAAATCCTAAAGCATTGAACTCGAAACCAATAGAATGTACCATCATAGAAAAATCTTTTATTATGCTCTAAACATTTCAGTAAATCATGAATTATGAGATTTTCCTTCTTGTTATGGCAACTGGAAAGTATCTTTCACTTCTTTGAGTTTAATTAGTTGCCAAGTGGTCCTGGGTCTATTTCACATTGGCTGAAACCAAATCCGAAAATAAAACTAAGAAATCAAAATTCTCGATTGATTTTTGGTGAAAGAATGGTGGTCAAGACTAGTGGTTTGATGGTGTTGGAAGAATAGGCACGCGGTGAAGGAGGAGGTGATGTTGGTAGTGGTTGGGTGAACAGGGAGTTGGTGGTGGAAGAAGAAGAAGTTGGGGAGTGGGTAAATGGGATAGGTGTGATGAGGTGACATGCCACGTAGCATCCACATCAGCGATATGTTAGGTCACATGAGATAATTTTGCGTCACGACCCAAAATTTCACCATAGGCATCGTGATGGCACTTCTAAGACTAGGTAAGCCGATTATAATTTTATTTCGAGCCATTTTTTTTTAAACATATAATTTAATACAAGTGTCGAAACAAAAAGCAGAAACAAATATAACAACCTCCCAAGACTAGTAATACTGAGTCACGAACTCTAACTGAATACATGGAATGATCTCGAGAACCGAATATACAATACTGTTCGAATAAGAAATTAACAGTACAATAAAATGGAAAGACTCCAAGGGACTGCGACGACCAAGTAGCTCTACCTTAAGTCCTTGCGATCACACTTTAACTTTGTCCGAGTCTGATATCTCCAATACCTGGCTCTGCACAAAATGTGCAGAAGTGTAGTATGAGTACACCACAGTCGGTACCGAGTAAGTATCAAAACTAACCTCGGTGGAGTAGTGACGAGGTACAGTCAAGACACTCACTAGTCAAATAACCTGGAAAATATAACAGTATACAATAGTATTGAAAAACAACTAGCAGTGATATCAACAAAAATCAACCAGTGATATAAACAACAAGGCTACAAGAACACCATAATTATTACTCAAACGAATAAGGAACACAAGTACAACCAATTAAACAAGTCCTTCAAATATAAATCTTTCACATATAATTCTTTCGAGTAAATACCTTTCGAATATATTTCTTTCAAATAAATATCTTTCGAATATAAAATTCTTTCAAATATCTTTCGAATATACTTCTTTCAAATAAATGTCTTTCGAATATAATTCTTTCAAATAGATATCTTTCGAATATAATTCTTTCAAATAGATATCTTTCGAATATAATTATTTCAAATACTATTTTGAATAAAATTCTTTCAAATAAATATTTTGAATATAATTCTTTCAAATAAAAGCCACCATGTGACACCTCATTTCATAATCACAAAATACGGGTCTCAGCCCACTTTCATATCTTACGTAACACGGATCTCAACTCACTTTCATATTTCCACGGCACCTCGTGCCCATATTTCTATCACATCCGCACGGACAACACACGTGCCAATAATAAAATTATCATATTTTTTCCAGCACCTCGTACCCAAATTTCATATCACATGTGCACGAACAGTTCACGTGCCAATAATATAAACCGCCCGGCAATTAGGGGTGGGCATAAAATCTGAAAAATAAATTCCGAACCGAACCGAATTAATTCGATATTTTGGTATCGGTTTATTCGGTATTTCGGTCCTACTTCGGTATAAGATTTTTAGTTTTTCGGTATTTTGGTACGGTCCTCGGTATTGAGGTTTGGATATTCCGGTATACCGAATTATTTAAGTACACCTTCCTTCACTGCCAGCCCAAGTTATCAATTTTCAGTCCAACATTTCTAACTTGTTAGTTCTTACCCTTAGCCAGTAACCCACTGAGACTAAGCCTAACTCCCCAACCTAATATTAGAAATTATTAGAAAAGTAAAGGAACTTCTCACATATGTTGTTGTTATGCTCATTTATCACTTTATTAAAAAAATTCTAATGATGTGATTTCTAGTATAAATTATTAGAAGTAAAGAAATTAAGAAACTACTCACATTCTACTTGTTATGCTCATGTAATGAATTCTATTAGAAATTATTAGAAGAAGTGAAGGTATTGCTCACATTTTGTTGTTGTTATACTCATTATCACGTAATTAGAAATTTTTAATGAATTAGCTTAGCAGGCACTGTTTAGTTAACAAAGATATGGTATGATACCGAACCGTACCGAAACTGTACCGAACCAAATAAGAAAATACCGAATCGTACCGAACTATTTGGGTACGGTATTTGGTATTCACAATTGATATATCGAATACCGGAATACCGAACCGAAATTTTCAAATACCGTACCGAAATACCGAACGCCCACCCCTACCGGTAATAGCCACATGCTCACAATTTCAACATGAATCAAACTATTATCAAGTTTACCGAAATAACAAGACAAGTTGCACAAGGGATAAAATAAATATAAGAAAAATCACAACATCACATCAAAATCACCAACATAATAATCTCACATCATCACGTATCATCCCTGACAATAGTCACCCTTATCTCTCCTATAGCCACCTGTATCACTCCATAATAATAGCCATTTGTATCACTTCACCCTGACAATATCAATAGCCACCCTTATCGCTCCTATAGCCACCCTTATAACTCCACCCAGACAATATCCCAGCACACATAACAAGAGTGAAATGCCACCATTATACCCACATAATATCAACAGTGGAATGTCACCCTTATATCCTCATAATAATAACTCAAATCACACAACAATTTACATGAAATATTATCACGGCAACATAACAAAAATAATTCATATCACAAATTGCCCAATGGCCACAACCAATTTCAAAGATATAACAAAATTAATTAATTTCATAACAAATAGCCCAAGGCTCCATACAATATATATAAAACCTCAAAACAACAACAGATATGGAAATGTAACTAGCATAGGACAACACCTTCTTTAATCCAAATTTTTCATAAATATACTAACGCATCTTTTTAAGCTTATTTAATTAATTATTTGCAGATAAAAAAATCATAATGAAATTAATTTCAAGAAATATCAAATCAACAAACACACAGAATTCACATAAAAATCCAAGTGACAGTAACAT